CAACAGCAACACCAATTAAAATTGTTGAACAACCACCAGTACAACAATCACCAGTACCAACACCAAATAAACCAACTTTAGCAAATATGTTACAACAACAAGTTCAACAACCAAATCAACAACAACAACAAAAGAATGAACATAGTAAAGCATCTATATCAAATTTAATGCAAAATTTTAATTTTCACACAAAAGATAAAGAGCCAGTTGTAGCAGAACAAGTTAATGAAAAGAAACCTGTAGTTACCAATATATTATTAAATATACCAACAACTGCAACAACAGCAGCACAATCAGTTAAAAAAGTTTATGATTATGAAAAATTAATGTCATTACGTTATACACCACAATCCAATACAGTACCAGATCAATTAAAAGATTCACCAATTTATAAGAATAATAATAATAATAATAAAGGACATTTTGGTAAAAAGAAGGGTGGAAAAGGTCAATTTGGATTCAATCAACAACAAAGTTCAACACCACCAACTGTACCAAAGAAAATGTACAGTAAGGATACTGATGGTACTCATTCAGAAATGTTGAAGAAATTCAAATTCAATCTCAATCGTATCACAATGGATACCTATAGTCAATTGGTCAAGAATATTGAAGAACTAAAGATTCCAGATGAAGAAGCACTTTCTGGTGTCTGTAATATTCTATTTGAGAAGGCAGTTATCGATCAAAAGTATTCTGCAGTCTATGCCATTCTATCTGGTAATTTGAATAAGGTCTATCCTAAATTTGACAAGTCCTCTGTGAGATCTTGTATTTTGAATAACTGTAAAGCTGTATTCTCCTCTGAAATTGATAAATCCAAATTGGAAGGTCTAAATAAGGAAGATCAAGAAGAACAAGAATTTATATTCAAGAGACGTATGTTGGGTAACTATAAATTTATTGGTGAGCTCTATAAACATGATGAATTGGGTGCTGGTATTGCTAAAGCCATCATAAGCCAACTCATTGATAGAGTTCAAAAGACTCTAACAGAGGAATCCATTGAATCTATTGTTAAATTAATGTCAACTTTGGGTAAAAAAATGGAAGAACAAGAAAAACCAACTATAGATCAATACTTTAAACAAATTATTGAACTATCTGAAAATGATTCAGTTACATCTAGAGGTAGATATTTATTATTGGATTTGGTAGATTTACGTGCAAATAAATGGCAATCCAAGAGTCAAGTTAAACAAGTTAAAGAGGAAACTGAAAAGGAAGAAAGATTTATTGCTAAACATGGTGGTAAAGGTGGTGATCTTAGAAGATCACAAGATAATGGTAGAACTCCACCAAGAGGTAAAGGCTTATTTGATTCCAGAGATTCATCACGTGATAAAGGTAATAATAATAGTAAAGGTGGTAATAATCAAAAATCAAAAGATGGCTGGGAAACTGTTGGTAAACCACAAAAATCGAATAATAATAGAGGTAATAAAACTCCAACTAAAGGTAATGATCAAAATGGTTTTGGTTCACCATTTGGTTCATCATCATCAAAAGGTGGTCGTGGTTTTGGTAATAAAAGAGATGAAATGGTTAATAGTAATAGTAATAATCAAAATAATCAAAATAACAATAGAAATAATATATTTAGTGCATTAAGAATGGATGACGATATTCAACCAAGTAACAGTAATAATAGAGGTAAAAATGAACAAACACAACCATTTAAGAGAGAATTAAATATACCAGAACTATTTAGAAAAGAACAACCTAAAAAGAAAGAAACAACACCAACACCAACTAGTAAACCAAATCAAAAATCTAAATTTGAAGATTTTGATGAAGAATTTGAAGATGATGAAGATATTAAATCATCAACAAAGAATAATAATAGTAAAGGAACAAAATCAACAGAAGAAGATTTAGAAAAAATTAATGATACCATTGCAATAACATTGGATGAATATTTGGAAACATTGGATATTGATGAAGCCATTGAATGTATAAAAGAAATGGAATATCCAACATTGATTGGTAAAATTTTTGGATGCATAGTTAGTAAATCATTTGAAAAGAAAGAGAAGGAAAAACAACAAATTGTTGAATTATTAAAAGGATTCTTTGAAGCACAATTATTTACTACTGAACAAGTTAAAGAGGGTCTAAAAGAAATTATAGAATCCATTGAAGATATTGAAGTTGATCTACCATTTGCCTCTAAATTTTTATCAAGTGTCGTTGGTACATGTATAGAACAAGATGTATTGACACTAAACTATCTAGAGGAATCCTATGTCTATTTGGCAGATACTGGTAAAGCTGAAGAAATGCTCATTGATACATTTAATGCCATTGTTAAACAATCTGATCAAGATCGTCTATTGGATATCTATGATAAATCTGAAAATTTGGATTTACTATGTCTATTCCGTTTCAAGAATCGTAATATAACCTATCTAAATGATGAATTTTTTGAAAAGAATTTCCCATTCCTCTCTGCAACTGCACCAGAGAAATTAAATACAGCATCACCAATTTCCGAATCTGAAATTATTGAACATTTACTCATGGAACAATCAGCTGATGGTTATTGGACCATTAATAAGAAACTTGCCAATATCCTAAATGTACCATTTTCTGATATCACTCGTGCTGAATCGGATCAAAGTATTCAGATTTCTCATCCAAATATTTGGGCAACATGTTTAGCTTATTCCTATATTCAAATTAAATGTCTAGAAGAAAAAGAAGACCTTGAAATTGTTTTATTAAAAATTGAGAACTGGTTAAAATCTGAATTTACTACTTCCTCTCCACCACCAAAAGAATCTCTAGATGAAATTTTAATGAAAGCTAAAAGATTAATTTCTGAATATGATTAAAAATAAAAATAAATATAAAATTAATAAATAAAAATAAAATATATATATAAAATATATAAAATAATAATAATTTATATAAAATTTGTTTTAATTTATTTTTTTTCAGATAAAAATGATAAAGCTAAATCCTTTTCTTCTTGTAATTCTTTTGTAGTTTGATTTAATTTATCTTGAATAAAATCAGAAATTTTTAAACCTTGTACAATAGACCATTCACCATTATGACAAGTTACAGGAAAAGAATAAATTAAACCCTTTGGAACATTATAAGAACCATCAGAATAAACAGCCATAGAAACATATTCACCATCTTTGGTACCTAATAACCAATCTCTCATATGACAGACAATGGCAGTAGCAGCAGAGGCAGCAGAAGAAAGTTTTCTAGCTGCAATAACAGCAGCACCTCTATTTTGAACTTGTGGAATAAAAGATTCTTTTAACCATTTATCATCATTGACAGCAGTTACTACAGGTGTAACTTGTGAATAGGATTGAGTTAAGAATGCTTGAGTTACATCAGGTACTTGAGTGAGTGAATGATTACCCCAAATTATTACATTATGAACATCATTTACATTGACTCCAACTTTCTCACCAATCATTGCTTGTGCTCTATTTTGATCTAGACGTGTTAGTGCACTGAAATTTTGTGGTGGTAAATCAGCAGCTTGTGTAAGTGCAGTCAGTGCATTGGTATTTGCTGGATTACCAACTACTAAAACTTTTACATTTCTACTGGCATATTTATTCAATGCCTCACCTTGTTCACGAAAGATATTGACGTTGACTTTTAGTAAATCTTTTCTTTGCATTCCAGGTCCTCTTGGGAAAGCTCCTACCAATAGTGCAACTTGTATACCTGTAAATGCTGTACGTACATCAGTGGTAGCAATAACACTCTGTAATAGGGGATGTGCTGCATCTTGAAGTTCCATTACCACTCCATTGAGTGCCTCTTGCATTTTTGGTATATCTAATAGATGTAATACCACTGGTTGGTGTGGTCCAAACATTTGTCCACTAGCAATCATAAATACCAGTGAATAGGCAATTTGTCCTGCTGCTCCTGTAACTAATACTCTTAGTGCTGAACTCTTATTGGTATTCATTGGGTTGGTATTAATTAATGTCCAGGCTTTACTATTTAATGCACTGGCTTTTTTATGCATCACTGGACATTTTGATATATGTCCTGATATATTATTAATTCTTAAAATTGCTTGTTCCATTGTTTTTTTTTGAATGATTTATAATATAAAAAAAAATTTAAAAAAAAAAAAAAATCATTAAGCATCATTTATTTCTATTTTTAAACAGAGAATATAAAAAAAAGATTAATATCAAGTTTACACAAAAGATATATAAATTAACTATTGATCAAGTTACAAACATATTTAACTAATACATTTGAATTTAGATATTCACATCAATTCTTCTTCAAAAACCTTCAAGATGTATAAATATGTATAAAAACATTTCACTTAAGTATTGTTAATGTTCATAACAACTTTTTATAGATCTATTATACAATGGGAATTTATTAATAAGGGCTATTTATAAGTATACCATTCATTTCCCAGCTCTTTTATATTTCCCATAAACGGTTATCAAAATTCTACATTGTATATTCTTCAATTTGATAACGGATTTAATGTTCTATTAGTTTTTTTTAATAAAAATTTATGTTTTAGGAATTTATCTGAGAGATAGAGTTATATCAGTTTAGCTAAATGATCTTAAGTGATAGTATCCTTCCTGACTACCTTTTATGTATACTAATCTTTACTGGACTCTCGTAAGGAGCATTCTTAAAAAATGTAAGAGATACAGTATTAACAGTTACTTTAAGATTATAGTCATCCATTCCTGACTACCTTTTATGTATACTTTATACTAATCTATACTGTACTCTTGTGTAACTTGGGTAAGGAGCATTCTTACAAAAAAAAAATGTAATACCATAGGGGTAGTGATTAATATTTTTATGATATAATGTCTTGATTAATTATTTTATTTTGTTTTTCTAATGCTAAATATTTAAAATATGGAATTAACTGAATATAGAATATTATAGTCTTAATGGGATGCTATACTACAAAAAAAAAAAAATTGGAAAAAATCTGAACAAAATCCTAAAAATTTTTGATCGATCACAACATTGAATGTTTTGTAGCTCAGTGGTAGAGCGGAAGACTGCAAATCTTTCGGTCACCAGTTCAATCCTGGTCAAAACCTTTCCCTTTTGAAAAAAAAATTTTCCCCCCAAAAAAAAAAATTTACAAATAAAAGTAAAACACAAAAGGGAAAGGTTTTGACCAGGATTGAACTGGTGACCGAAAGATTTGCAGTCTTCCGCTCTACCACTGAGCTACAAAACATTCAATGTTGTGATCGATCAAAAATTTTTAGGATTTTGTTAAGATTCACTCAAAAAATTTTTTTTTTTGTAAGAATGCTCCTTACCAAGTTACACAAGAGTACAGTATAGATTAGTATAAAGTATACATAAAAGGTAGTCAGGAATGGATGACTATCATCTTAAGACCTTTTAGCGTAACTGTTAATACTGTATCTCTTACATTTTAAATATGCCAATTCAGGTAAAATTAATAACTACACTTTTAAAAATAGCTATCCTATACTGTTATTTGCTCTAAATAAGAGTAGATCAAATAATAGATATAAAGAAACAGTAAATATTACTTAAACAACAACAATTAAATTACATGATTGTAATAAATATTAGGATATGTGCAAATTAAAAATTATTTTTTTAATTACTTGGTTTATAAGAAATATTGATCACATAAAATGCAAAAGAAAAATTGATAAACATATTGGAAATTTTTTAAAAAATAATGTTGATATATGTTTCAAATTGGAAGCAAGATTTCAATAACTAGAGCACTACAAATTATGTAAAACAATAGCAAATGTTCTCTATCAACGAATGATAAAAAGAAAACACTCAAGAGACACCTAAAACCCATAAACCAACATAGAAAGATAATCAGAAATTTTTATTTTGTTAAATGTAAAAATTTAGTACAACTATTAAGAGAATTGATAAAATTTAATTTTAACCAAACTAGTAAATCATTAGAACCTATTAATTTTGATTTTAAAAAATCAACTACTCTTTCTGAATGAATAGAATCTTGGGCCACCTTTGTATTATTCATCCACCAAAATGAAGAATCAAACATTTTTGATTCAAAAGATTCCAAAGCCTCAAATAGAAATTTATGATGGGGATTAGTCAATTCATTTACTAATAACAGAGAATCATACATGGCAAGATTTAAACCAACACCACTAAAAGGAGGCATTACATGAGAAGCATCGCCAATTAAAGTTATACCAGGTGTTAAAGATTTCCATCTTTTTTCATATGGTGCATTAAAAAGAGGTCTAAAAACTATAGAATCTAAATTACAAAACCTAAATGATTCTTTTACTAGGTCATTCCAATCCTTTAATTGATCATTTGTAAAATTTAATAATGATATTGAATCATTTTGAAATTTTAATTTTTGATCTCTAACCCAATCCCAAGATCTTTCAGAAGAATAATAAATCGTTAAAGAACCATCAGATTTTAATTGTGACATGAAACCTTGATTATCACCAACAACAAATAATAAACCACCATTTACTAAATTATACAATGAAGGAAAAGTATTTTTAGCATTTTCAATTTCACCAGTTATTAATGTAACACCAGAATATTCCATTTCCAAATTGGTAACATATTTTCTAACTTTTGAATTTGAACCATCACAACCAATAACCAAATCTGCATCTATTAAATCAGTATTAAAAAATTTCAATTTAAAATTATTATTCAAATTATCAAATTTTAAAGATTCAAAATGATAATTCCATTTAATATTAATATTATTATTATTGGATTCATTGCCAATAAAAGAATCTAAAAATAAATCTCTTAATTGACCTCTATCTATTTCTGGTTTTGAAAAACCTAAATGATATTGTGATATCATATCAATTGGTGGTAATTTAAATTCTATTGAACCATTTTTTTTCATTAATGTAAAATACTCTCCTTCTGGTCTTGAAACTTTTTTAAATTGATCATATAAACCACATTCTTTTATAACTTTTAAACCAGTATCTGGATGTAAATCTAAACTGCTACCTTGAATTCTATAATCTCTAGATTTTTCTCTTTCATAAATACTAACATTATTAAATCCTTTAATATTTAATAACTTTCCAAGAGATAAGCCTCCAGGTCCACCCCCTATTATTGCAATTTTTAAATTTTTATTTAAATATTTTGACATTTTAAATATATTTAAAATGCAAAACAATTAAAATAACAAATAATTTAAATATTTAAATTTTTTTTGTTAATTTTATCATATTTTAGTTTAATACACTAACTACTTTAACAGTTTATTTTAATGTATTATAATGAAAATTGAGTTATGACCACACCCACTATTTTTATTAAAAATTTCTCACACTTCCAAAAATAGAAAAGTGATCATAAATTCTTTGTGAAAAGTTATAATATATTATAGAAAATAGGTATTAATTTTATTTTAAGTTTATAATTTTTCATGGAAGTCATTGAGATCTGGCATTTCTTCTTTGAGACCCTTACGTTTACGTACACCCATACAAACTTCAGTTGGTTTCTTATCTACACCAACAACACCAAGTGAGTTCCAATGATCCATAACACATTGTGGGAAAGCTTGACCAGCAGTGTGACTACGTAAATCAGCAGTGAAACCGAAAGATTCTAATACTGGTAAGTAAGCTTTAACAGAGAATAATGGAGTACCAGTTCTTCTTTCTTCAGAGATAACGTGACCTCTTCTTCTATTGAGTACAGAGTAAATACCACCGATAGCATTTTCAGGAGCAGTAATTTCAGCTAAATAGACTGGTTCGAGCAAAATTGGAGAAGCTGTTAATTCTGCAGCATAGAGTACTCTTCTGGCAGTTGGAATAACTTGACCACCACCTCTGTGGATAGCATCAGTATGGAGGGTAACATCAAGAATATTGAAACGAATACCTCTCATGTTTTCATCACAGAGAACACCTTCTTTGGTAGCCCATTGGAATGCACCAACAAAGGAATCTTTAATTTCATTCAAATATTGAACACCTTTAGTTACGTTAACCAAAATATTGGCACCTGAACCTTCTGGACCGAATGACCAAATGTTTTTACCATCATTGTTATCCCAGTTGTATGTATCAGTTAAATAATTGGCACGAGCTTTAACTTCATCTTTAGCAGAGACTGAACCAGCTTCGATTTCGTTTTGTAATTCCATTGGAATTGGTTCGGCTTTAACAAAGAGACGGTTATGTTTGTTGGCAGATTTGGCCAAACAAGTAATGGAGGATTCAGCAGAGACAGATTCTCTGAATGAAACGACTGGATCGGTAGTTTTGATTTCAATACCAGCGTGATCTTCAGCCAAATCTTTAAGACAAATTTCCAAATGGAGTTCACCAGCACCAGCAACAATGTGTTCACCAGATTCTTCAGAGTAACAGAGTACACATGGATCAGATTTGGCGAGTCTCTTAAGACCTTCGACAAGTTTTGGTAAATCAGATGGGTTCTTTGGTTCGACAGCAACTCTGACGACTGGAGAGACGGAGAATTTCATAACACGAATGTTGTGAGCAACTTCGGAGGTGGTGATGGTACCAGATTTGACAAGGAATTGATCTACACCAACCAAACCAACAATGTTACCACATGGACAATCTTCAATTTGTTCAGTCTTTCTACCCATCATAAGAACGGTTCTTTGGATGGATTTCAAGAAGAGATCTTCTTTCTTACCTGGAACGTAGTTTGGACCCATGATACGGACTTTTTGACCAGTTCTAATGACACCAGAGAAAACACGACCGAAAGCATAGAAACGACCTTTATCTGAGGTTGGAACCATCTTAGATACGTACATCATCAATGGACCATTTGGATCACAGTTCTTGATGGCAACAGCACATTCATCATCAATTGGACCTTCATAGAGGTGACCCATTCTGTATCTTTGGGCAACAACTGGGGATGGGAGATGGAGGACAATCATTTCAAGAATGGCATCAGCAGCTGGTAACCATTTTCTCATGATGGATTTAATCAATTGTTTACCTTTTAATTCAGCATCATCTGGAGAGAGGGTAATGGAGAGATTTTTAACCATTTTATCAATTTTTTCTTGATTTTCATCAACGACAGCTCTGGTTAATTGGTAGATTGGTTCGAGGATAAATTGACAGAAAGTTCTTTGGAGTTGTTTACCTGAAGCGGAGGTTTCAGATGAAGTCCATTTTTTGGTTTCTGGGTCAAAGTAATTGTCACCCCAAAGTCTGGTCATGAGACGATCTTTGGCAACACCAAATTTAGCAGCGTACAATTTGGCAAATTTGGTGAGAGTGAAACCCCAACCGTGGAGACCGGAACCGAAAGCAACGGTACCTTTTTCTGGGAGAACTGAGACATCACCAAATTCCTTATCATCCATATTACCAACGATGGCATTGACAGATTCAATAGCTCTACGGAAAGAAATGTAAGCTTCTTCAGTGTTCAATTGGAGTTCCAAGAGGAAACGATCTACCTTGTTGACAAAAAGAACTGGTTTGATACGTTCAGCGACGGCTTGTCTGAGTACAGTTTCAGTTTGGACACAAACACCTTCGACACAATCGACGACGACTAAAGCACCATCAGTAACACGGAGGGCTGCTGTTACTTCTGAACTGAAATCAACGTGACCTGGAGAATCAATCAAATTGATAAGAAACTCTGGACTAGTGCAACCAGGTGGCATATCATCTTTATCTGGTAACTCAAAATGGAGTGATACAGATGAAGCTTTAATGGTAATACCTCTTTCTTGTTCATCTTGTCTAGTTGACATATATCTCATATCACCAGCAACTTTATCTGCAATAATACCTGCTCTGGTAATTAAAGAATCAGATAATGTAGTTTTACCATGATCTACGCTGTTTAATATTAAATAATATAATAAAATAATTAATATATGTATATAAGATTTTTATATTTGTTTTATATATTTGTTTATACTTACTGAGCAATAACAGACATATTTCTGATATTTTCACGACGATCCATAATGGCTCTAATTTGATCAATTGTAAAGTTTACCATTTTGTATTAATGTTTCTGAATACAATTAAATTTAAAAGTTGACTATATTCGTAAAAAA